AGACTAGCAATGCCTAACAGCGCCGGGAGAGTAATGAATCGAAACAATTGAAAATCAATATCTAAAACAATAAAAAACTAATCAGTTTTTCGCTGTGTTCATGATTATAGTGAACTGCCTTTCCGTGAGAGCACTGGTAGACTATATATATATTCCGTACATCATATGCAATGAAATTGCTTTTTATACATTATGTGATCGTTTTGAACTACTTTTCAATCTTTTATGTCAAGTAAAGTATATTTTCTACTTTTTTAAACTAATCAATAAATTATATCAAAAAAATTGTTTTATAGTTTCATTTATGATGAACCAATAATAAAATATATTTTTAAAAACATGCTATACTGCAAAGTAAGCAAAAACTTTTAGTTTAGTTTTGTGAATATTATTCTTGGAGTACAGAATTCGCATAAATAGATTGCTTTTAAGTATAGAAAACTTAAAATTATTTTAATATTTGTCTAACAAAATTAAATAAATATTTATCCAAAAAATATGCCAGAATATATATAAATAATATTGAGCTAAATATTAATATTTAAACATAGAGTATACTTTGCTTAAATATAAAAAAATTATTATTAAAAATTTATTTATACCATAAAATTGCCAGAAAACTGCAAAATTATGCCAATTCATAGCTATATTCCCTGAACTCTTAAACGAGCCTGACTAGTTTAATATAATATTCCGGCGCAAAGCTAACGGTGCATGAAATCAATTCACAACTAAAACATTAAATAAGTTATGTTTCAAATACACATATATTCTGTAGGTTTTTAAGTGAATTCCTTAGTCTATAACACGTTTACTACAGAATCTTAAGTCAGAATTAATTCGAGATTTAAAGTTATTTATGGCAACTATAATGCAATTTCAGGGCACCGGGCAATCTGTACGTAATTTGAAGCTCACCCGCAAACGGCTGTATAGTTTAGGTTTGTTTTTGATTAAAATTTCATACGAAATGATTAAATAAGTTATGTTTCAAATACACATATATTCTGTAGGTTTTTAAGTGAATTCCTTAGTCTATAACACGTTTACTACAGAATCTTAAGTCAGAATTAATTCGAGATTTAAAGTTATTTATGGCAATTTCTATCGGAGAAAAAGATTTTGCTTTAAATCACAAAAATTGAGTTTTGAATACAATGTTCACATTTCTCGGGCGATAACTGTGTCGACACAATAGGAGAGAGCCTTTAGCGCACAGAAATGTAACGATAAATATACAGAAATACATTACAATTCTTGCGATAATACTCTAAGTTCTAAACACTTTTGCATACATTTCCACACAAAAAATAACTACTATTCCTAAACACACTTAACACGCTTACACCTCATCGCACCTATAGGTCGAGTTCGCGGCCGACACGTTCAAACTGGACGTCCTGGAGATGGGCCGGTCGGGCGCCCAGTCCGTCAGAACACAGGGGAACCTACCCTTCATGTGCGAGGAGGTGGACGCCGCCGATCCCATCACATTCACCACACGTGACTCGTTTCTGGAGCTCCCGCGCTGGGAGTCGGCCCGGGCCGGCACACTGGCCCTCAAAATACGTACCAACGAACCCAACGGCGTACTGGTGTACAACTCGGGCGCCGACAACGGGGGCGGCCAGTCGTCCGACTTCGTGGCCTTCGAGCTGCTCGACGGACACATCTATCTGTTGATGAACTTGGGCTCCGGGAGCGTGAAAGTGAAGGCCACGCAGCGTAGGGTCGACGACGGCCACTGGCACGCCGTGTCGCTGAGTAGGACGGGTCGCACCGGTAGGGTGGCTGTCGACGAGAGTTCCGTGGATTTTATATCTCCCGGCGCCAGCAATCAACTGGATCTGGAGGGCCCGCTGTTTATCGGTAGTGTCGGCACACAATCGCCAGAATCGCTGCAAAAGGATAAGACTCTGCCGTCGGAGCTGTGGTCCGGGAGCTTGAAATACGGGTTCGTGGGCTGTATTAGGGATCTGGTGGTGAACGGGGATGTCGTCGATATCGCGGCGTTTGCAAAAAGGCAGGACTCCGGCAGTATTAGGCCGGCCTGTCATACGTCGGGCCCCCAGTGCGACGCCCATCCCTGTATGAACGCTGGCGCCTGTATTGAGGGCTGGAATCGGTTTACGTGCGACTGTTCCCAGACGTCGTTCACGGGTCCCGTCTGTGCCAAAGGTATGACCCCTTTATTGTTATCAATACTAGAATTTGAACCAATTTTTAGATATTTTTGAATTATTTTTTTGGTTATCTATAATATAATATAAATCTTATATAAATTTTGTGATTACGTTAAGAATATTCTGTATTTAGGGCTTTATGTTTAGATGAATTTTATGAGAATTTTTATATTTATATTAAACCAAAAATTCTTGCATTCTTTGAGTGCGAAACAAATATTTTTCATAATACAGTATTCAGTTAATTATTATATTGAATAATTTATTTATTATGCAAATTCCGTACGAATTAAAATTATATTAAAATATTCTCACACGGAATGCCAGTATTACACATGAATAGCATTTATAACAGTTAGGAATTTAACTAAACTCCCTGCCCCCCCTGGGGTCTCTGTCCCACCTATAGAGTCAACATCCCTGCACTTCAACGGCCATCAGTTCATGACAATAGCCCTCCCGGAGGAGAGTGTGACTCAGGCCGAGCTCATACACGTCCGGTTCCGCACCTCCCACCCCAACGGCCTCATTATGACCACCACATCGCACGACAAATCCCAGAGCCATCTGACTGTCGCGCTGGAGTCGAGTCGGGCTAAAGTGTCCCTCAATCTGGGCGAAGGGGTTCGGGTGCTCCACATCGGGCACAGCCTTAACGACGATTTGTGGCACTCATTGAGGATTGAGAGGAGGGGCCCCTCCATTGAGGTGCGGCTCGACAAACAGCAACAAATGGCTGAACTTACGGGACAGTTGATTACACTACATATCGGGGTCATCCATATCGGTGCCCACGCAGTAGATCCTAAGTCGCACCACCACTCGACCGGTAAGTGATTTAATGGCTTTTTTTGGTTGAATACAAATGTGTTTTATATTAAATTTCCGTTTAATTTCTGTTTTTGTTTGCAATTATATGAGAGTATATAAAAAGTACACAGAATTTAATGCTATGAATCGATACGATTATTCCGTGTATTCGTATGATGTGTTCAAATGAATGCCATATTTTATTCATTAGTTTTCGTTGGAAATTGTCATTACAATGACATTTCGTATGAAATTTTAATCAAAAACAAACCTAAACTATACAGCCGTTTGCGGGTTAGCTTCAAATTACGTACAGATTGCCCGGTGCCCTGAAATTGCATTATAGTTGCCATAAATAACTTTAAATCTCGAATTAATTCTGACTTAAGATTCTGTAGTAAATGTGTTATAGACTAAGGAATTCACTTAAAAACCTACAGAATATATGTGTATTTGAAACATAACTTATTTAATGTTTTAGTTGCGAATTGATTTCATGTACCGTTAGCTTTGCGCCGGAATATTATATTAAACTAGTCAGGCTCGTTTAAAAGTTCAGGGAATATAGCTATGAATTGGCATAATTTTGCAGTTTTCTGCCAATTTTATGGTATAAATAAATTTTTAATAATAATTTTTTTTATATTTAACCAAAGTATACTCTATGTTTAAATATTAATATTTAGCTCAATATTATTTATATATATATTCTGGCATATTTTTTAGATAAATATTTATTTAATTTTGTTAGACAAATATTAAAATAATTTTAAGTTTTCTATACTTAAAAGCAATCTATTTATGCGAATTCTGGACTCCAAGAATAATATTCACAAAACTCAACTAAAAGTTTTTGCTTACTTTGCAGTATAACATGTTTTTAAAAATATATTTTATTATTGGTTCATCATAAATGAAACTATAAAACAATTTTTTTGATATAATTTATTGATTAGTTTAAAAAAAGTAGAAAATATACTTTACTTGACATAAAAGATTGAAAAGTAGTTCAAAACGATAACATAATGTATAAAAAGCAATTTCGTTGCATATGATGTACGGAATATATATAGTCTACCAGTGCTCACACGGAAAGGCAGTTCACTATAATCATGAACACAGCGAAAAACTGATTAGTTTTTTATTGTTTTAGATATTGATTTTCAATTGTTTCGATTCATTACTCTCCCGGCGCTGTTAGGCATTGCTAGTCTGTACGCTCCCGCGAGGGAAAGGCGTCCCAACGAATCGTTGACCCCTTTTTTCTCTAGCAATCATTCTGTGGCTAAAGAATATTCTTTAACTCACATTCTTATGCACCGCACCACCATTCAGGCCATCACTACTCCTCGAAAGACGTGCCAAACTTCGTGGGACTGATGCAGAGCTTCGTGTGGAACGGGAACGCCTACTTCGAGATGGCCCGGGATGGACAGATAGCCAGCGTCAACGTGACGGCCAAAGTGGGCAAAAAGGAGCGGGTGGTCCACCATCCCGTCACCTTCAAGTCGCGGCACACGTTCATCGGCTTATCCCAACTGAAGGCCTACTCCACAATGAATCTGTACTTTCAGTTCAAAACACTGGAATCGGACGGCATATTGCTGTACAACGGCGGCAAGAATCAGGACTTCCTGGCCGTGGAGCTGGAGGCCGGGCACGTGAACTACGTGTTCAACTTGGGCGACGGCGCCCGCAAAGTGCGCTCAAACACCCGGCAAACCCTCAACGACAACCGCTGGCACGCCATCACCATCGGCCGGCCGTCCCTACGCCAGCACACGCTTATGGTGGACGACGCGTTGGCCACCGTGGCGTCCACCGGCGCCAACGTGCACCTGGATCTCGAGGGTCTACTGTTTTTGGGCGGTGTGCGCACCGATATGTACGACGCGTTGCCTAAAATGATTCAATCGAGGCATGGCTTCGAGGGGTGTATAGCGTCGCTCGACTTAAACGGGGAGACCATCGACCCGTCCGGCGCCGACGCCCTCATACCCAGCACTTTGGTGGCCAGTGGCTGCTCGGGACCGGTAACCAAGTGTAGCAATACTGCCTGTGCTAACAGAGGTATATGCGTGCAAATGTGGAATAGCTATGCCTGCGATTGCGATATGACCTCCTATTCCGGGCCCACCTGTGCTGATGGTAATGGTAAATACATTGCTATTATAGATTTAGATCCCATTCCCCATGTGCTGTACAGCCCCGTGTGTTTCGATTCA